GAATAAACATCTTGAGAGCAATATTCAAGTTCGGTATATGTTTTCGTCACATTGTAGCCTCCTGAAAGCTTCGATCAGTGGCTGTACCATCAGGCACAGAACCCGTTCCTTCCCAACACCGTCGTACCACTGTACCAGTGTCTCTAAGCTCCTGCTCTCTGGAGCACCGACAATACAGTGACATTCATCTTATTCTCTAACCCTGCTGTCCTTTCAAGACCACCCATACTACAGACCCCACCGGGCCGAGAAGGTGCTACATTTCTGGAATGATAACCCCGACTGCAGCCATAGTATCTATGCCCTTATTTTTGTGATAATTGACACGGTAGCCCCATCCGATTCTTTATCTGACCCCTCCCATCGTCACAAATAACGACCTGCTACCATATTCCAGTGTTCCGGTAGATCGGCCCAAACCTATCAGAAACAACCATCTTATCTCGGGTTCGGTCCAGGGTATAATCAGTACTGATAAGCAGCAAGCGCCAGGATGGAAAAATAGTTTCCAGAAACAGCGCAATCTGTTTTAGAAGCAGCCCACACCCGCCTGTTCATCGCCGAACATGGCCGCTTTGCGAGCCCTGGGACATGAGAGGGTTTTATTAACAAAAGCAACACCTCTCGCTTCAAGGATTTTATTAATCATTTGGGCCTTATGGCCTGCGATTGAAGCGTGAGTTTTGGTGAGTTTTATCGAGGGTGAGGCCATTTGTCGTGAGAGTGAATGAAACGGCAAAGGAGGGCAGGCGGTCACCGGTCAGACGCGAAGTGGTAGGGTATGGTTTCTCATGAGCACCACGCGGGAAGAGGGTTGCTGAAAACACCGCAACTGCAAGCGACTCGCACTTTGCTTGGAACACATGTCCGACATCATTAATTCATTAACCATCGACGGTGTAACAGTATTGCCTAGAGAGCAGGAACCGTCCGGTCGATAAGGTTCTTGACTGTGTGACTGGATCTTCCTTCGTGTTGAGCCATCTACTCTTTTGCAGTGCAGCGCACTCTAAACTCGTGCAAGACCCCTACCATTGTCTCTTCTCTTCTCGTTAACCTCAAATTTGGAGGCCTTCGTGAAGAGGGATGCTGCACAGTCGGTCGTACGATTCCGGAGGATGAAAAAATGGCGTGGGCGATCTTGGTGAAGGATAGCGCCTTCAATTTGGGGAACTCCTAGGATATCGGTTAGGATGCATGCTTGCGCTGGGTTCGATTCCCCGTCAGAGTACTTGATCAGTCCATCGACTGTACAACGAGTATTTTTTCCAAATCTGGTTGCGAGGCGAATAGTGAACACACCGTGCGGCGTGCTTGGTCCCGCTGACTTGAAGGAAAGTAGATATATTAGCAACAAACAAGTCCAAATGCCGACGAAACTTGCGACACGCATGATCTACCCCCCGATCCACTAGTCCTTCCGTGCTCGAATTAACACTAGGTGCTCTTGAGTTTATCGACAGTCCCTCTTCGAAGAGTCGGCGCATCGTCTGGGGTTCGAGTCGAGCTGGCGGCGTTACTGGCCATCATGCGGACCAGGTTTCCTGTGTATTGAAACCGACTCCTCAGGACAGCATCGTCATTGGTGTGGCATTATTATTTAGGAATGGAGGACAACGAGGTAGAGGTGTGCGAATCTGAACGTGTTGGCAAATGAGCTGAAAAGACGACAAATATCGAAATGAACAGATGCGTACGCTAATCACCCCCTGCCTCCCATGCTCATAAAGCAGACAACTGGGATAAGTTCTCTGGTTGTGTATGGGTTAGCCCATATTCCGCGCGAAAATTGGGTTCGACTCCCAACAAGAGAGTATTTAGTACTTTCGGTTTTTTTCTTGCTTGGCGCTTCTCACCTACTTATTTAGGTGACAGGTCCCAGACTTGAACGTGTCTGGGTTCTCGAGTCAAGAATGTGGTGGACCGTGAGTATAAACGTTGTAGGGCCCGTAGCCTATATGATTTGTGAGCACAAAAATGACACCAGAAAGATGGAGAGTCCTACAATGGAATACCCCGTTATCGAACCTCACCTGGAACGACTCGGGGCGAACCACGCTCCCGCAGATTAACCAAGACAAGTTCACTCTCGACTGAAACGATGCTTGAACAGGTCAGAGTATTGGAATGCCAGTTCGAGCTTTATCGACGTGGAAACGGACCAACGAACCACTGGTAACTACGAAGGGATACGCGCCGCCTTCGATGTGCACAGTTGCTTTGGATCGTTGCAGGCACTCTGTATCCCATGGTGGTACGAGAACGGGGACCTCGTCGCGTGCTAGAAGTTATTTCGCAGGCAGGCGGAAAGATGCCAGGTGACGTCCATCGTCTCCTTCTCAGTGCTCAGGACGAAGTTCTCGGTTGATACAGAGAGGGAGTATGCATCCTGGTTAGGAGCACGAGAAGGCGGGTTCTTGATGCGAACGTCATTCGAGATACGTCGCCGGATTGTAGACGCACAAGCCCCAATACAGCGCGCGAAATGTTGGGATGGAGTGATATCGTCCAATCGCGACGTCCTTCGAAGCTGGCCACTCCTCTCGCCCTCAAAGAAATGTCATCAGCGGCCTCTCCTCCAGAATCGGGAATCGTTGAGTCGGAAGTCCTCCCCCGTCGACTAGCGCAGGACCCCCCTTGCCGGACCATGACACGAGGGCTGGTTGTTTATGGGGGGCCAACGATGGAGTGCAGGTGTAGGCTGGCGAGCACGGTGAACTGAAAGAGTGTTGAATATCAGATAGCCGCATACAGTTCGTTGGCACTCCTGCACTGACTAGATGAGAGTGAGAGAGAGATGTAACTGCTATTTTGGGAACTGACCTTCAAGTGGATGTCCGTAAACCCCATGGTGTATTCTCTGATAGGATAATAGTCAGCACCCCTGCACGGGTCAAATCTGGGTTCAATCCCCAGTCAGAGGTTCCCATAGTAGTCTCTTTTTCGCGCCTGACCAGTCGGGTCTTGACACTCCACCTTGACATGCTCCCTTGTGCGGTGAACCAAAGTCGTTCCTATGCACGCCATGCATGAAGGAAAACAGATATATTGCATCAACAAGGAAACAAAGTCTGCATCAATCTCTACTCGCCGGCTTGGCACAGGTCAGAGCGTCACTTTGGGAGGAGCAGACATTCAGATGGCGGATTAGTAGTGGGCCATCATTAACGTGCTAGGTACCGGACCTAGTCCGCCATTTAGACATGCAACATTCGAACCAAGAATGTACTAGGTGTCGAAGTGCCAGGGTCCTTAGAAAAGGCCAACACCGAAACCTTAGATCATGGCCTTCTAGTCGCCTATCTAGAAATTAGCATCAACGGGAAGGCTCGTGAGGGAATATAACTCACCTCACTAGTAAGAACGATTCTGCGAGAACCGTTGCTCTAGTCATCCGCTACCAGAGAGGTTACCGTCGACCTGACAAAAAAGAACCATAGCGGTGGGCGATTCTCTAGTACATTCCGGCGTGGTTTCATGACGACATGGAAGAAGGCCCGAGATTGACGCTAACCGTCTTTCTGCTGATACCTTGCGCCTGGATCCAGCTCTTGATATCACTGTCAGGTGGTTTCTGATGGCAAGGATCAGCGATAGAGTATACTAGTGAGCGAAGCACACCAACCAAAGCACATTTATGGCGCTTGCTTCACGAAATGAAATGCCAGCGATCAGACGTCCAAATCCCAATCTACGATGACAGCCCCGAATCCCGGGCACGACGCTTGTGATTTGGGGTCTGCGGCGCCGAGACGCGTATTTCGAGTCAGGGCGATGAAAAAAGAAGGATGACTAGAAAAATGTAACCCATTAGTCTCATTCTAGAGTCAAGTAAAACAGCACACACGTCTTGGCTCTGCCTTCTCCTGCATCGTACGCTCTCATAGCACATCAGGCTTGTTTGATGCAGGTATGATTGGGTTCGACTCCCACCCCGAGCATGGCCAGATGGAATTTGCTGTATTACTATTTTGGATCACAACACGGCAGCGCGCTCGGCCTGAGAGACGAGAAGGAAAACTAAGTTTCACAGTGTTATCGATGCGTGGGTCCACAAAATGAGAGTGCATGTGCCTAAGAGTATTTCAGTAAGTCTAATACACCAAGCGGAGGACGAGATACTCACATGGGAACTCTAGCAACTCCTTGACATCACTACCCAGAGAGGCGGACGTCCAAATCCCCGTTCTGCGATGACAGCCAGTCACAGGAAGGGTGAGGGCACTCCGAACCCGTGAGACCGTACAGCACATTGGTGTTCGGCGTATGATGGTAGGTCGACAGCACCGAGAGCTGGATTTCGAGTCGGATCTTCTCTTTCGATGCGTGGAGACCGTACTAATAACATCTGTAAGTCTCATTCCAGAACTTGGTCAAATGCACGCACCTCTCATACGCTCTGATGGCGCAGCGGCGCCTAGGTACAAGCGGGTTCGATTCCCACTCAGAACATAGTAACATCACAGCGTACCGATCGTCTTTTGCAGCACAACACGGGGGGCCCATCTTAGAAAGCGCTTAGCGTGCATTTGGCCAGAACCAAGGGAAGATGGTAAATAAATGCTCGGCATGTTGGTCTGAAGGTATCCTATCAGTCGAATCCACCAAACGGGGAAGGATATACTCACATGGGAATGCTGATTCTCTCCATATCTCCTTCACAGCAATAGCCCACGCTACTCACAGAACGAACCAACAGAGAAAAGGCGGCCAACCAGCGTCGGTTGTCGTCACTGTCGATGATAGCGAGCAGCTCCTCATCATGCATGATGCCAACTCGAAATGCGAACAAAATTGGGACATGGATGGTGCCGTTAGATAGGCCGCTCCTTCCGTGCTTGCCAGCCAACATACATTGGGCGCTCTTGAGGCTATTGGAAATTCCTGGTGTCCTCGCTGTCGTTGGTGGCAAAATCGGGCCGTGGCGGTTGCGATGCGAGCGACAACTGAGTGAGAGTTTTTTCATCGAATGGAAAGAGCTATGGTTAAATAAGTTCATGTCTCTGATAGTATATCGGTTAGTACACGCGCCTGTCATTTAATGTTAGCCTCGATCGCGCGAAAGCTGGGTTCGACTCCCAGTCAGAGAGTGGACTAGTAATGAATGCGCAGATTTTTTTTTTTTTCTTTTTGCGACAAAGAATATTCCATTCTTTTTGTATTTTAATTTTTGAGTCTTGAGAATTGAAGATTTTTCAGAGTTGAGCTGAGCAGTGAGAGCTCGGAGAGTCGAATCAGTCGATGTTAAAAGCAAATCATTGAGTTGTTTCAAATCTCTAGAGTCAACTGATTATTCATTCAAGCGAATATTGTCCGTGGTTGAATGGCCTTACTATGTGTTCCACGGTACTGGAGCTCGGATTTTGTCCGGGAGGAAAGAATCAAGATTTCTCATTATTAGTTGAACCGAAGAGAGGAATATACGGTGATCTGGCAGCGTATTAGCAATTTACAGCGACGTGGTTCGGGTTCGAATCCTGTAATGGAGGGTTCTGGGAGGAACGAGTGCTCACTATACCTCCAGGGGTTTTGCATTTGTACGAATACGAACTAAGTAGTATCAGACCCCGACTCGGGCGCTTTGATTTGTAACTCGGAGTACTTTGATGATCAATGATGAATGCAATCTCACCAAATCAAAACGTCCGAGTCGGAGTCTGATACTACTATATCTGGA